GGGGTTCCAATGTCAGACCTACAGGCAGATGGCGGGGCTGTATCCCATCTCTGACCCTTCCCAGCTACTTGTCCTGGGGGATTTACTTCTCCATGCATGTCTTCATGTATAACAGGTGGGGTGAGGAGCCAAACACTGGCCCAAAAGTAGAGCTCCTATCTCTGCAAGACTGTCCTACATGGGAAGGTTCCTGGTTCAAGTCCCAAGCCCTTCCTGTGTTTGTTGAGCACACTCTTGTTCATGACCCAGGGCAGACTAAGGCTGGTGTGGAGCGCAGTGTCAGGATGCCATTGGGCTGCATGTATGTCTCATCTCTCACAGTTACGGTTTAAGAAATAAACTTTCTGAAACAAAAGAGAATGGGCCAGCAGATAGTGTAGTGGTTAAGGCACTGGAATCCCACATGGTCAACCATGGTTCGAGTCCCAGACCTGACAGCTTGAAAATCATGCCGGGCACACAGACATACTCAAAATATCCTGAGAGGAGACTGGAAGAGAAGGGATTGTGACATGGCCATCCCCCTGGGAGTGATTTCTCACTTTTCCTCTCTCTGGAGAGCACACACACCCCGTATGAAAGGGGAAAAAAATGGCTTTTTTTTTTTTAATAAATTGTAGGAGGGGACCAGCATTTGGTGTAATGGCTATGTCGCTGGACTCCCATGTAGTCGACCGTGGTTCAAGTCCCAGACCCAGTGCCTTAAACGCACGCCAGGCGCGTGTGCGTGCGTGCCCAAGATCCCAAGAGAAGAATGGAGAAGGGTTGCAACGTGACCATCTCCCCTGGGGGGTGATTTCTCGCTTTCTGCCTCTCTGTCTCTGTCTTTCTGGCAAGCGCACGTGCCCTACACCCTATAACAAAAACCTCTCCCCCAAAAAAAGAAAAATTGTAGGATGTTTATCTCCTAAGCATAATTACCATGAGGCACTTAGCACAGTACCTTGCTCACAGTGAGTACTCAAAGGGTTTTCGCTGTCATTGCTGTTACATTGGGGGCTTCCTGATGGCAATGAAGAGGTTGTGGATTTGTGCCTGGACTCACAAGTGCGAGGTGTAGCTGTGGGACCTGCAGCCGTAGCCTCAGTTGCTTTGCTTTGATAAGGGACAGTCATGCCATTCTCTCACATCAGAGTGAGGAAGGACGGCCAGATGGATGCAAGAGCATTTGGGCAACTCCTGTAGCGAAGTCTGGTGCCGTCTCTCCAAGGCCCTCTTTCCTTCATCTCCCCTCCGGCCTCTGAGCCTCCTCACCCAGCCCTGTCCCAGTGCCACCCCGGCAGTATTACAGGCACTAAGCAGGGAGGAGAAGGCCCCGCTGAGGGGAGGGAACACAGTTTCACAGCAGTCACTGGGGAAGAAGGCAAGGAGAAGAGCAGGAGCTCAAAGACGGTGCACCCTGCGGGCGCTGGGCGCCCTGGGGACCAGGCAGCCGGGACAGCTTCCCCACACTCCCTGGGAACAGGCAGAGCCCACTTTTTTTTTTTTTTTTTTTTTTTGGGACTTTTGCTATAGGGCGT